ATGATGATCAGTAAAATGTTAACATATGGGAGCATCTTCAAGGTGTTAGCAACAGACAGTTTTTCAGGATTATTGGTGGGGGAATTATATGTTTAAATTTTCCTCCATAATAACCCCCCTCAGAATGTAATATGTTAAGGAGAAAACTTACTTAGAATGATTCCTATTAATGGGTTGTATGTGCAGTTTCTTATTTGAAGGGTATATATATGCCCCTTTGATCTGTTACTAGCAGTCATAATGCAGTTGAGTAATAGCATCAAATGTCCTAACTAATCATATGACTAAGATATAACAATCATTAGGAAAGTCTTTGGGATATGGATGTTTGATCTTTCATGTGTCATGTCAGTAGCTTCTGCTGTTGCGTTGTATGAAACTGATACCTATAACTGGAGATGACCTTTTGCTCATGGTTATAGGACCTGCAACGAGACATTGAACAGCACACAGCGGGTGTGGAATCAGTCTTCAATATATGTGAGGTCTTGCTGCATGATTCTGATGCCTGTGCCAACGAGACTGAATGTGATTCAATCCAGCAGACAACAAGGAGTTTGGAACGGCGGTGGAGAAACATCTGTGCCATGTCTATGGAGAGGCGAATGAAGTGAGAGGCATTATTTCTCTTCATTCTGAAAAGCACGTTATGTATGATGTAATGACTATTGAATAGGGGTTTCTTTAGTTTTTTAAACATTATCTGTGAAAAGCCCAAAGAATCTGTTCTTGAAAGAAAGAACAGATGAGTAACTTACTGGGCAGAAAACATTAGTTCATTGGTAGAGCTTATGTTCATTGGTCTCCAATTCATTCTCCATATAAAAAGAAATGATGGGAAAACTTCTGTGTGAGATACTGCTCTGGTTCATAAATAACACTAAACTAAAAACCTCAGTAAGGTAGAGTAAATTTATTGTCTGAGATGAGGGAATATGAATGTTAATGGTTTATTCAGTTCCTTATTCCTAGCTGTGGCTACTAAAGTTAGAATAAATTATGTAAATCTTTTTAAAATGCCTATATATGATATTATACAAAAATGAGAAACTTAACATTTGATTAACTTACATACTTTGCAAGGCTGAGATTTTCCAGGCACAGAACATGTGCTATAATTATATATTTGGTATATACATTGTTCTGCCTTTGATGTGTTGGCATGTATCTCTGGAAAAATGCCAGAATGCAAACCAAGACCTCATAGTTAAGACTGAATAATATATTGTGTATCAGTCCACAAACCTGATGCTCCAAGTCTTGGGATTTGGGATTAAGAGGAGAAGTAGCCAGCTGAGCTATTGGGAAAGTAGAATGGATGCATGCAAAGAATGCTGTAACAAATGTCCATGCCTGCACTTTCTATAAAACGTGGGGCAAGTCTAAGAAAATTACCTTTTTGAAGCATTTTAATTTAGTGCTTCAAGTTAAAGTCACATGTATCTTTTTCCATCCAGCAAGGAATAAACTTCAATTAGCTTTAATGTTTTCTGCTCAGTGAATGCCGGTCAAAGAGAATGTATGTAGCTCGGGGTTGAAGTGAGGAGTTCTTGGTGCTTTCTGAGCTTGGTTGTTTGCTTGTAGATGTTTCATTACCCAACTAGGTAACATCATCAGTGCCAATGCTTGGAGTACCGATGCTTGGAGTATTTTTGAATGCACTTTTTAGTTCAGCTGAGTGTAGTTTGTTGGTTTTGATTTGGTTCAGCTCAGCTTGAAACATGCCTACATGAAATTTGGGGGGGACGTGTGTTGCGGAAAGAGATTCATATTTGCAAATAAGCTGTTGCTGCTTGTTTGTGCAATAGGATTGAGGGGACTTGGCGACTGTGGCAAAAGTTTTTGGAAGATTACTCTCGTTTTGAAGTTTGGTTGAAAACAGCAGAGAGAACTGCAGCTTATCCCAATTCCTCAGAGATTTTGTATGTAAATGCCAAGGAAGAGTTGAAGAAGTTTGAAGTAAGCACTCTTTTTTTAGTTTTTCCATCTTTGTGTATAGATGTCATTTGATAAATTTTACTAAATTACTATACTGAACTTATCCCATATTTTAATTCTTCATTTTTCTTGAGTAGCAACTTTCCTTTCCTTTCCTTTCTTCCTTAGCATCTTGAATACATTAATTTTAAATCCTTTGAGAAAAATAATATAAAATACATTTTTCTCTCAGGCATTTCAGAGGCAAATTCATGAGCGACTGACCCAGCTGGAACTGATCAATAAGCAATATCGACGGTTGGCCCGTGAGAATCGCACTGATTCGGCTAACAAACTCAAGCAGATGGTTTATGAGGGTAATCACCAGTGGGACAATCTCCAGAAACGTGTCACAGCAATTCTCAGGAGACTTAAGGTGACTGCAAACAGGTTTGGGGACAAAGCAGATAGGTTTCTTCTAAATATCAGAAGTCTAGATAATGTGTTCTTAAGGGAACAAGAGGGAAGAGGTTTCTGTTGAGTTCTGTGGCGCAGTGTTGGCAACTTTAAGATGTGTGGACTGCAACTCCCAGAATTCTGCAGCCAGCATGCATCTTAAAGTTGCCAAGATTGAGAAACACTGCTGTGCTGGAAGCATCACCTAGGGATTTTGAATTTCCAGGTGAAGGCATCTCAGTTCTATACTTACTCAAAGTTGGAGAATTGGAGAATTGTAGTATCTGAGACCATGTCGGTGGAGTGTTGTAGTTAATATATTAGACAAAGATTAAGATGTCCTAGGTTCAAATCCAACCTCTGCCATGAAGTTCACTGAGTGATTTTAGTCAGTTAACAACCTCATGATTGTGAGGTATTCTGCTTATTAAATAATGAAAGAAAACAGCTTCTATGAACCCTTGACAGTTATAAACTAGGGATGGGTAACCTGGTCCTTTCCAAATATTTTGGATGACAAATTCTATAGTCCTTTGCCATTGGCCATGCTGTTGAGGCTAATGGGAACTGAAGTCCAAATCATTTGGCATCCAATAGGTTACCTATCTCTGTGTTAAACCAATTATTATTATTATTGTTAACTCATTTGAATGGTAATGCTTATGGAGAAGTTAACACAGGTATTATAAGGTTTAATAAAAGACCTAGAAAGGTTCATAAGCAAACGAAGAATAATGCTGGGATTTAATAATTATTTGCTGGTCACAAAAGTGACTCAACATCAATTTTCCAATCCTTCTACATGATACCTTGTTTAGTATACCTTGAACTAGAGGTTTCTATTATATGATTCCTTTAGCACTTGTTTTATCTGGAGATATCAGAGATTCAGTCTAGAGCCTTCTGTATGCAAAGACTTTGCTACAGTCCTGAACTGAAATCATGAGGAGAGCTATGGGAACAAATGTGATTAGAATGTAAAACTGAGAAACAGGAGATTCAGCTTCAAATCCTTATGTAGCCATTAAATTCATTAGACAAGTCATATGCACATATTCCAGCTTATCTGTCTAGTAGGATTGTTATGAGGCACGGAGAAGAATTATGTATGCTGCCTTAAACTGCTTGGCAGAGACGTGAGATATAAATGTAATAATTTGATTTAGCTAATTAAGTAACAACATTTAAGGGAACTCAGTCGGAAAGATTCCAGATCTGCTCTGTGAATCTTATAGCTTGAGATACAAGGTGGGGTGAATGAATTTTTATTTTTGCTTCATTGGTTCTTGATATAGCAGGTCAACATGCTTTAAGACATACTGTATATGCTAACAAACAGCAGTTTTTCAGGACAGTGTGTGTTATGACAATTATTGCATTGAGTATCTGTGTTATTTTATTGCCTTTAGCACTTTACCAATCAATGGGAAGAGTTTATGGGAACAAAGGATAACATGCTGGTGTGGTTAACAGAAATGGACTTGCAGCTGACAAATGTGGAACATTTCTCAAAGAGTGACTTTGATGACAAAATGCGGCAGCTAAATGTAAATATTGACTTTTTAAAAAGAAAAAAGAAATTGTTTCATAACCCTAATTATCTGAGCCTAGTATTTGTTTCTTTAGTAGCCTGACTTCTACTAACCTCATTTAATGTTTTGGATAGAAACCCCATAAATTTACAGAACACAGTTCAAACTGTTCACTAACCAAATAAAGCAAAGCTGCATTCAAGGTATCTGTAATTGTAGGTGGGAGGTCTCCTTTATATCCAGTGTTGATCAGGCCTTTCTTCGTCACTCTTGGCCAGTCCTGCTTCCAGAATTTGGAAGTTTGCAGCAGGACTCTGAGAATTGCAAGAACCTTTGCCCAAAATTCTTCCATAGGCATCAGACAGAACCTGTTTTTTCTTTTCTCACAGCTTAGTTTAAAAGGGTAAAAATCCTTCGAGTCAAGCTGAACACCTCATCACTTCAGGATCCAGTCCATGTACTCCCCTTGTCAACAAGATAGAAATGAATTGTCATTGCCTGCTTCCAGACTGTAGTTTTGATTTCTAGTCTAGATTACGTATACTACCAAAATTTGCATCTTCTCCTTCCCTCTACTAATTCCTTCTTGGTTACCACACCATATAAGACTAAGAAGTCCATGTTCAGTATCAGCAGGACCATTCTTGTGTCATGGTAAAAAAAAAAAAATGATTAGCTTCACTTATATTGTCTCTATGGGTCAAATTTCCTTTGTCCAGTTCTTGCATGCTCCATCTACAAATATCTTAGGAATTTTACAGCTTTCACCTTTGGTTTTGGCATTCATGATGAGATACCATTGACTTAAGAAATTCAATGATCCTAGAAGCCTCTGTTTGTTTACTTGTATATTGTAGGTGATCCCCCCCCCAATAATGCCACCCAATTCAAGGACTTCAAAACAGCTGATAAGGAGAAATAATTTAATTTATTCAGTTTAATATGGCCGCCCACTCCAGAAGACTCTGGGAGGCTTACAAAATCCAAATAAAGAATAAAACAATTAAAGACAATTAAAACCCATAAAAAACAGGCAGCCTGGACTAAAACAACTAGAACAAACAGTATAAAAAACAATATGATAGGAGTTTGACCAATAAATCACACCCATATTAACCTTAGCCTGGGAACATAATACAAAAAAACACATGAAGAGATTTTTTTAAAAAATTCAGATCTGTGCACACATCCTTCCATTTGCAATAACTTCAATATAGATTTCATTGGAAAAGGTCAAGCTGTATACATATTTCTTTGTGCACAGTTACTTATTTAAATTATTGGGGAAGGATATTTGTATAGGAATGTGTATAGGGGTCCTACCAGATTCAGAGAATACTCCGCATTAGCATATAATCAAATGCAATCCAGAAATAGTTTATTGGAAGTGGCGACAAATTCCAGCTGCTCTGCAGTTCCCAGAAAGCAAAGTTTTCCTCTATATCCCCTAGCCTGTGCTTTGGGCTTATACATATCTCCTGGCCTTTGCTTTGGGGTTCAGAAGGCTAGCTTGCCACCACATCTTCTTTCTCTCAGAAAGCTCCTGAAAGATCTAGAAAGCAGTTTGCATTCCATACTTGGTGAGAGCAACTCAGAAGAGGAAGCTTATCCTTCCCTGGGAATAGCTTGCAAATCGGATTGATTCAGATATCAATGGCACTTATTCTTGCTGTGTTGAAATACTTCTATGACATAAAGCGAAAACAACTAAAAAACAAACTGGTGAATGGATTGATAAATTAATATTTCTGTATTCAGGGTTAGAAAAAACTAATAACTTTAGAAAAGACAGAACTTTTCTTGAAGAGTGGGCATCCAGCCTTATTTGCTTTACCTGTCTAAGTTACTTCACCAAGGTGTTCCATGCTGAAATATAATTTCTGTGCTTCACCTTATATGTTCCCAATCTCTCTTTATTAGATTGATTAATGTGAATTGCATTGTCTAACAGGGAATTAATCTGGGCAGTAATACTTAGGAAGTATCATCATCTGTATTTTAAACAGGGTTTCCAGAGGGAAATAATGCTGAATACCAATAAGATCGATCAGCTGATTGAGTCTGGGGAATATCTGATTCAAAAAAGTGAACCAGAGGATGCCATTATACTTGAAGAGGAACTAGAAGAATTTCGCAGTTATTGCCAGGAAGTGTTTGGCCGCGTAGCCCGATTCCACCACAGACTGACATCCTGGCACCCAGTAAGAGCTGATGAAGTTGTATCTTTACTAGAACCCCATGTGGTTCCTTTGGCAGTAGATTCACTGTCAAAAGCCATGTGGATAAAGAATAAAAGGCATGGAAGACATATTCCCCAAACTTCCAATAACTGAAACACTGCTTTTTTTCCAAGTTAACACTGGGGCTTTTTTTATATCCAAAGTATTTTTACCTTGATCCCAGGGCACCTGGAAGCTAAGTAGGTAGGGTCTGATTAATGACTAGATGGAAGTCCATCTGGGACCCCTGTCTACGTGCTTTGAGTTCTAAAGGGGAAGAATAGATGTATGTATACGTATATACAGTATGTATGCAGATATGTGTGTGTGAGTGAGTGACAAAACACAAGTTTAGAAGTTGCAATAAGAACCCTTTGTTCTAAAGGGCAGATTATTTCTTTTTCAAAGGTTTTAAGTGGTTTCTGCTCCGTCTCCAGATGGAATGTGATTGAATGCTCCAATCACAATCGAAATAGAAATGTGGCATGCTCACCAGGCCCCCAAGGTACTAAAGATCATGCAGAGTTGCAGAAGGCAACCTCATTTCTTGGCATTTCTCTTGAACTTCCAAAACACTTTGGTTTTCACAATCTATAGTCTGAATCACAGAAGCCTGGCATCTGTGGAAACCAGGACATTCACAACATTTCTAGACAGTGTCCATGAAAGCACCAAAATAATAACTATTTTATCATTTTAAAATGATACAACTTTCATAGGGTTTTAGGGCATTTTAAGTACAGATGCCACAATTGTTTTACATTCTAGAGGTTGGATAAATGAAATACCATGAAAATTAACTTTCCTGTAGGATTTCAGTATCTGAAAAGGTCAGCAACCCCTGCCGTAGAGAATCCATAGCTCAGTGAGGAAGCATCTTCCTTGCATACAGAAGGTCCTGTGCTTAGTCCCTGACATCCCCAGGTAAAAAGAGGATTCAGGGAGCAGGTGATCAGCAAGAACACTGCCAGAAACCAGAGACCAGCTACCCATTTAAATAGAAAAGACTGGGCTACATTAGCAAATACTTTGACCTGGTATAAGCCAGTATTAAGCAGCTGTTTCTGACAATGTGATGAATCAGGATAGCTTCTGGGCATTGGTACCATGGGCAGAGACATACTTTTATTTTACCCAGCTTCCAGGAGCCTTCTGCAAAATTTATTAAAGCCTGAAACTGAAAGTCCATGGAGGTGAATTTCTGTATGCCCCACCAATTTCCATGTGTCTGTGATTGTATGATGCAGCTCACTAGAAATTTATGTGAGCAACTAACTGTGGGCTATTACCGTATGGGTAACTGGCTTCAGTTTAAAAGGTTTTAGCAGGATTTAACATCTAACAGGTTTACAACTTTCCTGTTTCTTATGGAGAATATCCAGTGGCAGAAGAACCTAGCATGCCAAGGCCTAAAGAAGAAAAGATATTAGAAAATATATGGTAGGGATGTAGGCTTATGATAAATGCTTTGGAAAATGAGGTCTTGTTCTGTTGCCCTTCTCTTCTGCCTTGCCTCATCTCCACAACTGCTCAGAAGCCCACTTCTGGGAAATACAAGACAGATATGGAAAGAGAGGATCTCCCTCTCTCTCCCCTATTTTGCCCCCATGTTTCTTGTGGATTGAGGTCTACATTTTGCCCTTTATTTTAGCAACAATACCTCCCCACCACCCCCAGAAATTATGCCAGTAAAAATTGGTGGGTTTGCCACCAAATATCAGAAGCACGTCCTGGATATATTTGGGGTGACTCTAAAATGGAGTTTTGATCACAGATTGCCTATCTCTGTCATAAACAGTATCTGCAGTCCTTTATCATAATCAAGAACTAGCCTTTTGGTGGATGATCCAAACTGAGGGGAGGGGGTAACTAAGAGTCTTTTGGAGTTGGGCAGCTAATCAATTCAAATAAATAATTCTACTTTGGAGGATTTCCATTTTCTTGAGCATTGGGAGCACAAAGTAATTTCAGAAGTAATTAATGTATTTAATTAATTAATTAAAGAAGTAATTAATACTTGTGATCAGTATCAATATTTCTGTTGTCTTGTTGAGGGGCTGGAAGATGAAAAAGAGACTTCAGAAAATGAAGCTGATTCAGACCATGCAAGGGGGATGCGCAATGATCCCTGGCCAAAGAAGACAGTTCAGGAGGTGCCACCATCCCAGCAGTCTCTCTGTCACCTCATGCCCACTGCAGTGGGTCACGAGAGGTCCGGCTGTGAGACACCCGTCAGTGTTGATTCCATTCCACTAGAGTGGGACCACACCGGAGATGTGGGAGGCTCTTCCTCTCCTGAGGATGAGGAAGAGGAATCGTACTTCAGTGCACTCTCAGGTAAATTCCAACCCACCATCCTATCCAGAAATGTTGATATTCACAAATACGCACAGTTACAAAAAATACACAAAAGCAATTACCCAGCTTTTAATCTTGAACCCTCAGCAATTGAGCTTTCCTGTGTTCCAAATTCAGTCATATCCATTTTATATATTACACGGAATGAGATGGAAGACTAAAATGGAAGCTATCTAGACTTAAGAATTAAGGAAGAATTTGTTTGGGTTACCTTAAAATGCAACGTTGCAAATTAAAATATGATTCTGATAAATTGCACTACCAGAACCAGTGCAAAAACTGGAACTTTTGTCATTTGTCAGTATTCAGCCCCTAAATGTTAATGCAGTTCTCCAATGAAAAAGCTATAAATATCTGGGTATTAGGGGAGGATATGAACAAACGTATATTAAAGACATACAAAAATACATTATAATGCAGATAAATTATTTACAAAAATTAGAACACTAGGCAGAACAAAAACTCATATATTAGAAAAAATGGGATGGAATGAGCTCGAGAATGGAAAAATTAAGAAATGGATAGAAAGTGAAATGGACATATTTGTCCATCATATCTGGATCGAACAATTTCATTCTACAAGTGTGGATAATATATTTTTGAAGGAGAGGAGAGGTTCCCAGCCTGGCAATAACCTATACTTGGCACGTTGACCTGAAAGATTTCTATTTGTGACTCTGGAGAGCCATTGTTAGTCATATTGTACTGTGTTGAATAGTACTGACAAATAGTTAGACCTGCTATAAAGCAATTTGCCGATGTTAGTAAAGCATCACTGCATGCAGAAAACTACCACATCAGGTGAAAAATTTAGCATAGTCCTTCCTGATATGCTAGTTACTTAATGCAAGGAACTTGTTATGCTGGTAAACATGTAGAAAAAAATGAACCTTTCCTTTTTCTGTGTCCAGATATCTTCTTGTTCATTTGTATTACTTCCAGGAAGGCTTTAAGTGCATAGCTAGGAGAGTAGGAGGCAATACTGAGAAAAAGCAATGTACTGCATTGTGAATATTTCACCCAGGTAGAGGTTCTGCTTCCCTTTCCCATATGGGCTTGTAGAAAATCAGGTGGAAAAACACAGTCAATTGGGTCAATCAAGAAAAAATGTGCCTGGGTAGGAAACACTGTATATATATGTACTATTTAAGGAGAAAGTGATCCCTCCCACTTAATGCATTTGCTGCAAACCAAACATTTAAAAAACAAATTCAGAAGGCATTCTTAAAATATGAATGTGGCTTTCCCCTATCAGAGCCTGGCTACAATCAATGTATGAAAGCTCTGTATGTTGAGACTTCTGAAGACTTTCTGATGTCAGCAAACGTTGGAGGAGACAAATCATAAACATAATAAAGGAGAAACCATTGAGGGCCTTTGCCCATTGATTTATTCCCTTTATCTATATACTTAGTGGCTAATTCCTTTGCCTTTTCTTCTTACAACTATTAGGAAAAATAACAGTGAAGAAAAATGGCAAAATGAGTTGAACGGTGAATATTTTTATAAGGCCATGGAGCTAAATGGTTGTTGCCTTTATACCTTACTTAAGGGCATCTTGACAACTAGTTGTACTGAGAAAAAGAATGCTAAATTAATAGATATTTTACAGGATCCATCTGGGGCTGCTGTAATGCTGCATTCTTGTAGGGTGGGAAGGGAAGAGTGAACAGACTCTCTTGCAAAGCAAATGGTGACGTTATTCTTTTTTCAGATGTAGAAATCACTGAACATCCTGAGGCATATCTTAAAATGACCACAAAAGCTTTGAAAGCGGCTTCTGGTAGGCACCTGCTACTGCATGTGTCTCAACATGACAGTTTCCCTGTGCCACACGCTGTGCTCTTCACACCTTTCTCATATGCAGGTTTCTGATTCCCTAGCTTGTATCAACACCATGTACCAGTTGGCTCATGGTGGATTCTCTTTTCGGTTTTGTTTATTTAATGCTACACCATCCGCACATGTCTCTACCTAAGTTAAGACTATGCATTTTTTAGTTCTCCATTCCAATATAAAGGCACCAAAGCCTGTCTTGCTTGTTCCTCACAATGTGGCATGGATCAACAGTGTGGCTGGTTCTTTTCACCTGCAAGACAACCTAGCTTTGCTTTAAAGCTCCCCTTTGCCATTCAGGTTAGGGTCTGACAGGACAATCTGGATCCTTCTTTATCCCAAAACGAACACTCATTACTCTTTCAAAAAACAAAGATTCAAATATCTTCTTGAATGGAACCTCATACAAACATTAAAAACTTCATTGAGTAGTCACATGCTCAGCCCAAGAAGCTGAAGACATTTTGATACTTCAGACAGAAGAGTTGAGTGGCATCTCTCTCTCCAGGTCTAATGGTAAAAAATATAATTAAACTAAATAATTACCATTAGCTGACCTATAATAGAATCCCCAAAGTTGCCTCCTGAAATAAGCTGCTTCATTCTGCTTACTGCTGGGGCCATGCATCATGCCCAGAAGCACTTTCAACCTTTCCCAACCTCCTCTTTTTGATGGTGGTGTGACTCATATTGTCTTTGGGCATTTTCAAAAAAAAAAAAAAATCCTCATAACTGCATGGCTCTCATTTCACTGCCCATGAAACACTGCTGAAACATGTTTGCAAACAAGCATGCTTTGCAAAGCAAATGGCAATATTTTCCATTTTTTCATGCCCTCATTTGGTTCTTCCTTGTCTGCAAAATGCTTTTAACTCTTTTTTCCCCCTTCACCCTTACATCTAATTTTCTGTGGCTTTCTTTTACCATGCTGCACAACAGGGAAATCTGCTGAAACTCACATATGGCATCCTTCAGAACACACAGCTTGCCGAAAGCATTTATACAACCAGGAAGAGATGGTTAGAAGTGTCTTCTCAAACAGCGAAGAATCCAGTGCACCCTACAAACCAGGCAGTGTAAGTCTGGGACACCTATATATCATGAGAAAACTGAGTTAGATTAGCTGGTAACTGACAGGCTAACTACATGTTATGCACATATAAAGTAGTGGAGATTTTTCAAGATAAGAAGACTTGGAGAGTGGGATATGAAATTTATATTCAATTTACTAAATTTCTCAATAAAGAATAGATCACTGTGAAACTGTGCTATGAGTTTGAGAAGATGATACATTGCCAGGAGACAGACAGACAGACAGACTGACTGACTGACTGACTGACTGACTGACTGACTGATTTATTTATATTTCAAAATTGTCACCGCCCATCTCACTGTGGGGTGACTCTGGGCAGTTTACAGTAAAATTACAGTTATTTACTTTCTGATCTGAACTGGTGTATTTCAGGTGAAGCCACTGAGCAGTAGGAGTATGGATGACATGAAAGACATTTCCAGGATCTTGCCTAGCAAAGATTCCCAAGATAGCCAGAACTTTGCTGGTATTTCAGCCATAGAGAAACAGCCAGGTATGTTAGCCATGATTCCTGTAAATGTTTGTAATATATTGGTGTATGTGTGAAGGTAACAATTTAGGATTCAATTTTTCTCTACGTAATAGCACCATCAATGCTAGATTTCTCTTAATTGAAGAATAGGCACAAAATAAATAAATAAATGCAAGATCCTTAAAATCTCAACAGAGGGAAAAGGAATGGAAAAGAGGGAACAGTAATATGAGTAGGTGCTATTATGATGGTTACTTTAAAATAAAATGATCAGAGTAGCTAATATACTACTGAAAGATGGTCAAAGAGATGAACAAGCTGAAATTAAAATAACAAAAACAAGGGAACTTGACAGAAAAAAAATCAAGCATTGATCAGACCAAAGGCCTCCCAAAACTCCAAGATGTTCAACTGATATTGAAACATCATTAGGGAGGAACCAGTGGATTTCCCAGATGACAAAAAGTTTCATAGTCTAAGTACTACAAAGGAGAAAGGTCTATATGTTCTTACTGCTTCTACTCCAGATTATGGTAAGATAGTAACCTGAGTGAGTAGTTGGGCAGGAGCACATTAAATAAAATATCTCCTCTGATACCAAAAACTTTGGTGCCTTTATTTCTGGCTTAATATTCACACACAGGAGAATTAAGTTGGCAGAATCCAGAGGTAGTGCAGTAGATTTCTATTTTAGAATAATCCTTCCTGTAAATACACTTTTTGGAAGTTAAACTATAAAGAGCACTGGTGTAACTCTGCAAGTTTTTTATTTGTAGTAAAATTTTATTCATGGGAGAAAGATGTGCTAGTGTTCTGAAGTGGTATGATCCCTTCTACCATCTAACAACTCTGCTACCTCCTCGTCTCAATTTACTGCGTTGTGAATTGCAAATGGGTTCAGTGAAAATAATCTGATTACAAAAAACTATAGATAATGTCTTATTACTATATTATTGTAAAGGAGCACCACCCTTAAAATGCTATACAGAAATTAACTCAGACTTCATGCTCATATTGTAACTAGTATATTGTAGAACTTGAGTTCATGAGAGACTAGCATGTGACCAAAATAATGTTGATCTGACTCAAAGCTTTTTAAAAAGTGAGTAATTTTGTGCTAACCTACAGGAAGTATTGAGAGATGGGAACTCATTCAAGTTCAAGACCTAAGCAACAAGCTGAGAATGAAGCAAACGTGGCAGCAGTGGCAACAGCTGAACTCTGACCTCACCAATATTGATATTTGGCTGGATAAAATGGAAGAGGAAATGGAGGGATTGCAGGAGGCAGAACCACAACCAGTCAGCAGTATTCAGGCCATAGAGCAGAGAGTCAAGAAGCTGAAGGTGATCAAAAAAGCTGAAAAAGAAAAATAATCCCTGTGGTCAACGTATGCAGTGTATTGCTGGTTCAGACAGATTGCCTAACCTTGCATTCTTTTGTCAACACTGGATAATCAGATGTTGCTTGGTACTTCTTTCACTTTGCTAATAGTCCCATAAAAGTGCTGTCTGTGCATGCACATGCAAACAGTGCAAATTGCAAAGTGCCTCTTTCACATCTTGTCCTTGTCTCTGGATGCACTCCACTTTCTGGAGAAGATGCACTTTCTCCATTCTATACTGTTCTGATGATGGTAGGGTTACTCTCTCTTGTGTCATTGTGCAGAAGTCCATCTGAAGACCACTTGATACGAAAAGGACATCCTGAAGTACAGACACTAGAAAGCTCCCATAGTATAGCAATAGATTCCAGTGAAATGAGTGGGTCCAACTTTCACATGTTATGTTTGGAAGTACACTGCTTTTGGTTAAATGCAAGACTGTACTATATCAGGGTTCCAGTACAAACAATAATAAAATCTACTTTGCTAGTTTTAATGCAGTTTATCAGCTTTCCTTCCCAATTTGTAGAATACACTGTAGGATACTAATATTCAATTTGTAGAATACAATGAGAGGCATGTGGTTTAGTAAAGATGGTGGTCTGGGTCTACCAGAGTCCAACCTTAGCCATGAAAGGTCACTGAGTGACTGGGCCAATCACCTCTCAGCCCAACCTCCATCACAGGATTGTTGTGGTGGAGAAAGTGAAGGAAGAGATAGTCCTATGAACATTGCACTGACCTACTAGAAGAAAGGCATATACAGCCAATAAATAGAAGGAAGTTGCTGCTGTATTTATTTTTACATAGAACTCTCATCTGGTTTTTCCCTATCAGGATATGTTTAAAGCCTATAATAATTACAAGGCCCTTGTGCTGTCTGTTAATCTGACCAGCAAAGATTTCAAGCAAGCAGACAGCACTGGATGCAAGGAGCTTCAGAACAGACTTCGACGGGTAAATTTACGGTGGGAGAAGGCAAATCTTTTACTGGAGAACTGGAAGAAGAATTTACAAAAAGCTCTGATTCACTGTCAGGTAAATAGCACAATTATTTGTCCCACTTTATTCTTAAGAAGCTAAAATTATTAGGTTAGCAAATGCCCATGGTACAGGTAGTCCTCAACCTACAACCATTCGTTCAGTGACCGTTTGAAGTTACAATGACACTGAACAAATTGTGGTCATGAAGTTCTGGCTGTCATGTGATCGCGATCTGGGCACTTGGCAACCAATTCACACTTACAACCATTTGCAGCACCCTGCAACCACAATTGCCATTTGCAATCTTCCCTGTCACATTCCCCAGAAAGTCAGTTGGGAAGCCAGCAAGGAGGATCACAAGTCACTGGGGTAAGTCTCCCCCACCTGTGTACCCTCCCCCCGCACCATGCCTCTCATGCACCCTTGCACCCCCTCCATGACCCACACTGCACTTGTGAACCCCCTCAACCTTTGCACATCTGACCTGTGCCACACCCTCGTGCACCCACCCTGACCCACACCACGCCTCTCATGCACCCTCCCCAATCCATGCTGCACCTCTTGTGCACCCTCATGAAGCCTCCGTCACCTGTGCCATGCCTTTTGTGCACCCCCTTGACCCTCATGCATCCAACCCGCACTGCACCCTTGCATACTCTCCCCGACCCTTGCCGCACCTTCGCGCACTCTCCCCAACTCATGCCGCACCTCTCGCACACTCTCCCCAACCCATGCTGTCCTTTCCCTATGCACCCCCTCACTCCGTCCCCCACCTGGCAGCAGTCACTTATCTACCTGAGGACCTGGGGCTTGCAACTTCCTGCTGGCTTCCCCACTTACTTTGGTTGTGGGAACTGGAGAAAGTTGCTTCGCCTAATGACCGTGGGATTTGGTTAACAAAGGCAACCAGGACTGCAGGGATTGCCATTGCTAAGTGATGTGGTTGCACTTTACGATCACATCGCTTAGCGACGGAAATTCTGGTCCCAGTTCCCATCATAACTCAAGGACTGCTTGTAGTTCTAATGAATCAGCTGCCATAATACAAGTTTGCATCTTCGGGTTAGTTGATGTGTTCTTATATGATTATGTTCTGAAAAATGAGCGCTTGTTTCTAGGATTTTCATGAACAGAATCAGAAACTGCTGCTGTGGCTGGCTGCTGCAGAGACACGAAGGCATCAAGCACAAGTTAAGGATCCAAATGCTGATCCTCACAGAATACAGGAAAGTCGAAAAGAGTTAATGGTAATTTTTTTTTTTAAAAAGGAGCATCTAGATACAAATTATTGCATCTCTGTTTAGTTTAGTGGTTTATTACATCCAGTATTATGCACCTTTGAGTCATGGGACTTTGATTGCTCTACTCCCCACTGCAGATTTCATAAATCTGTTCCAGAAATTACATTAAACCTTGAAAGCAGTTTGGGAAATGTACAGCGGGAAGCAGAATCTGGACAAACCCAGAAATATATATTCCATTGACCTGGTTCACCCATCATGCTAATTCATATTATGGCTTACTGTGACGTTGTGTTAGCATGTTGTATGAACCCAGATGTTCTGGTTTATAAACAGTTCGATTTTAATTTTTTTCCTGATTTTGCCCATTCTTGTGTTTGGTGCTACTTACTTTTTGAATTGTCCCCTGGCATGTTATGCAGACCTATCACAAAAAAGGTAATGCATTCTTGGCTTAGAATTATATATAAACAAGGGTTCCAACTAACCATGGTTATTACAACCCATGGGCTATTGCAATGGATGAGTCCAAGCATGGTTGACTCACTGTATTTGATTGGGTATTGGAATGCCAAGAATCTAGTTTTGGCTTTTTGGCATTGGAATCCTGTTCAGTATCCGGATATATGTTTAACGTGAAGCAGGATTCACTGGGAAGTAGAGTATATATTGTTTGCATGTATAAAGTCCAGAGGTTCATTCATTGGCATCTCTGATCTAAGAATCTCAGAGCTCTTGTAAATCCTACAATCAGCCAGAGAATGGAGGAACTAATAATATGATTCCAGTAGGAAGCAGTTTTCTGTGGTTGTTAATGTTTCCTCTTACATACTTTTTTAAGCAACTGGAAAAAGAGCTTCTGGAACGGCAGCTTCAAGTTAATGCTCTACAGGAAATTGCTGCATATTTGCTTGTTAAATCTGATGGAGAAGAATATATTGAAGCTGATGAGAAGGTCCATGTTATTGGGAAGAAGCTTAAACAGCTCCTTGAAGGAGTTTCATGTGATTTAAAGGTCTCACAGGGAAGCCAGGTAGGCTGGACTGTGTGTTCTAAATCTGATTACTCCAACTCTAACTCCAGAAAAATAACAGAAGTAAGGCTTTCTTCTTGTTGTTCCTCTAGGACATAAGCACATTTCTGTTGAATGGAGAAGAATTGAACTCTGGAACATATCATCAATTACCAGAGAAATCTCCAGTTTGTAAAAATAAGGCAAGTTGTTTGTTGGTTATTTTATAAAAGTTTTTTCCCCCTTCATTTGTTTCCATTCCCCTGTCCTCATTCTGTCTTTATACGCTTTTGGTGAAATAATCAGAGGGTACTGACTGTCATGGTTTAGCCCACATAATCAAGCAAATTCTATTGTTCGTGTGCATATTAAAGGATACAGGGTTCATCTACGAAAGAATACTTAGGACCCCATGGTTACTGACAGTAGAGAGGTCGTGGCTAGAGGGGGAAAGAAATGCACTGTACAGCCATAATACTGTTAGGCTAACTGTATTTATGGGTAGTTTAAATGTGTGTGCATTTTGTATCATTGGTTTTTTAATTTTTTAAGACAGCAGTAGTAATCACATTTAAATATCTACAGGTTGATGGGAAGAAGATCTTGCAGAGTAACAGCAGCAGCAGCAATGTTAGGTAATTCTTTTCAGTAAATATTTTCCTTCTGTGAACTAAAAATAAATATCAAAATTTTCCAGTAGATTTAGGGCCCAATAAGAGATATTGATTATTTGAATGCAGATAATTTGCTCAGCTGCAGGAAATGCTGAACAGCTGAGGACCATGTACAAGGGGGAAAGGTAATGTAATTCTTTGTACCAGAGTCCAGATTAAAAAAAAAAAAATTCCCCAAAGGCATTGTTTGCCATTCCAGAGAAGCTTCTATTGCTACCAGTGAATGTTTGCACTTCCCTTAAAAAAGAAATAGTAGTTTCAGTGACATGAATTGTGTCAGAAATATGAAGGGGAGTGAAAAAAATCAGTCTTCTCTTAATCTCTATGGCCAAAGCATGTTAATTGCATGATCACAGTGTCATGCTGAATTCAGTTGTTAGACACTAGCTAGTTGCTAGTGTCTATACATTAATAATATGCACAATGTATGATTTGTTGTGAAATATTTATGTCCCTTAATATTAAAAGCCAGGGGATTTGGTGTAGAGTTGCAAGCTTTAATAATTCAAATAACAACGTTATTTTATTTTGAAGCATTTATTTATTTATTTATTTACTTACTTACTTACTTATTTATTATTACATTTGTATGCCACCCATCTCCCCCCAATGGGTGGCTCTTATAATATTTTTTCCAAGAATTCAATCCAGAAATTGTTTTTGACCATGAAATCTGATATGCCAAGTCTTGAAGAGGCGCTGCCAGTCAAACAGGCAGTATAGGGCTAGTTGGAACCATAATCTCACTTGGTACAAGAGTTTGTAAATTGTCTTCTGTTTGCAGGATGGAGGACAGAGAAGAGACCAATCCAGTTGCATCCAAGAAGTATGCTTTCTTGTACCGTGTCCTACGAGCAGCATTACCTCTACAGTTGTTCTTCCTTCTTGTGTTGTTTTTGGCCTCCTTGATCCCTGCCTCAGAAGAAGACTACAGCTGTACTCAAACCAACAACTTTGCCCGTTCTTTCTATCCAATGCTGCGATACATTAATGGACCTCCACCAACTTAAAGACATTCAATTTTTTTTTCCATTCAGTCAAAATTAATATCTTCTGTGGGGTCTTCTTTTTATGCTGCTAAAGTTTGTCCAGAATTTCAGTTTCTTGGTGGCTTCAGCCAGGGCTTAACTGGCACTGATGAGTAACACTGACAATATTATATGGAGATTTCTACTGCACTCAACAGTAACCAAACTAACAGCCTTCAACTCAGCTTCCTTGAACATGCTGTTACTTCTCATCGCTAAGATATAGATCTTTTAGCAATTTCAGTACTTGGATTGGGTGGGAAAGAGTTGTTAACTACTTAGAGCTTTATACAGGAAAGCTGCTTCTATATATTTTCGAACTATAAGCAATGTACTTTATACTTTTGCACAGTGTGTGATCAATCAGTGACCTTCATGCCAGAAAGAACCATTGAACAAAGAATTACAAGACTGTGTCTTGTTAGCATTGAAATAATTTCTCTAATCAAAGATAAATGCATAATCCTCTAGAAAGATCTACTGCATAAGCCCCATTGTAACAGGTAGGAGCTGGGGCTGCACAATAGCTGCACTATTCTGTCTTTTCCCTTTATTTTGGTGAGTCTTGCAGAGAACTTCCTGGTGGATTGAATCCATCATTTTAATGTAAGAAAGAGAACTCCTTTTTCAGGTGATGCTTTGCATGCATGGAGGTCTCTTCCTGTATTTTGCTATTTTAGCGGAAAGATAACTTTAATTTTTAAAATATTTGTTATACTTTAGCATTTTAGGAATCTTACCTGTTCAGTTAATGAATATGTATGTTTCCAAGACAGATTTTTAGTACTTAGAATGTCTACTTTGTCTGATGTCTCCTTTTGTACGATTTTTATAAAAAGAAATGAAAATGCTACATGTAGGTAGCCTTTATTGTTTATAGGGTTTTTTAAAGAAAGAAAATAATTAGTGTTGATTATCTTACACATAAACAAATGAACTATGTAAACTTGTGGCTTTTTAATCAAAAAATGTTGATGTTTAATTTTCTTTGAATAGCGTACAGTAAGTCATAAATGATCTGTGCAAGGGTAAAATCACTCCTGTGGCCAGTACAGCAGTACATATGTGCATAGAGAATCCAGGGCCTTTAGCTCCTTTCTCTCCTGATTCTAAGAATTAGCCCATGACTTTCCTGGCCAATTCCAATAATGAATTACAGGAAATTGCAGACTCAAATCAGGAGGAGTCTGATGGCACCTTTTCAGACTAACAAAATAAGGTCATGGAAGGTGCAACCAAATTTCTGATTTTTGGCTACTGTAGATTAATACAGCTCTCCTTCTACAATGTATACAATGAGGAAATTACAGGGAATTAACATAAATAAAAATAAAGTACATGCTGGGTCTTGAACTGGAGAGAGAGAAGGAGGGAAGACTAAATGGAGGAATGGGAAGCATGTTCTGAGGAGGCCTACTATGTGCCTTCCATGCACAGACAACAACTATTAGCTTTGGCTGATACATGGCATCTCTTCTGATCAAAGACTTTGTATCACTGACTACCAAAGGGTTTTTTGAACTGAGGAGACATCAAGAGAGGGCCATTGCTTTCTTGTCACTGCTTATGGGCTTCATGGATATCTCTGCTCAGTCCTTTTTGGAAATAGAATGCTGGATTAGATGGGTATTTTCTCAGGTAAAATAAGGCCTTCCCACCTTTAAGCAGGATGCTGCCTCATCAGAAAGACTTATCACATTTAAAATGAAGTGGGCTTCAGCTGATGGTAAGAAATGATTATATTTAAATCAAAAATACACTGCTTCTGTGTACAATACAATTATGTTTTCCTTATTAAACTTCTGCTAATGTTTGCAGTAACTCTGACTTTGTTTGTCTCAATACTTTATAAAATTAAGTTTTCAGGGACAAGTTACAGCAAATGCTTGGTCTGTTGGCTCCTAAATTCAGAGAATTAGATGTAACTGCTACTATCTCAATACTAGAAAAGCATGACCTTGTATTGTCTTACTGTAATTTTGCTCTGACCTTACATTCCCACAATAATTGAATCCAGAGGCAATCTGACATGTTTATGGTCTTCTCTTATATGTACTTCTCTCTTCTACACAAAACAGATAACAGATCCCAGATATCAAGAAATTTGCACAGGTGAGGAGTCTGTAGTCTTCCAGATGCTGATTGACCATGACTCTCAACATTCCTAAACATTGTCCAGTTACAGGACTTGGGAGTTTAGCATCAAGAAGTCCCTTACCCTTGCCTTAATGGAAGGCATAAGGATAAGGGAGATGTTATCAAATGAGGAACAAATTGTTGTTCCAAGTCCAATCTAGCAAGTATATAAGTGTATAACCCTATTTTAGATAATTATCAGTAGAATCATATCAGTTGTTTTGCTAATTTAATTCAATGGAGTTTTCTTACCTTTAACAAAAATTTTAAAAAATCTTTTGCCACAGTTTAGGCAAAAAAATAATAGAAGAAGAGGAAGAAGCAGAAGCAGCAGCAGCAGCAGCAGCAGCAGCAAAAAACCAGGCTATGATTGCAGTTCTATTGTAGTTTGTTTTGGATAAAAGTAAGCACCCCTACCAAAAAGTAATTTTTGGTCAAGCATTGTCCCATTAAAAGGTATTATTCACCCTCCAAAGAAGTAATAAAATAATTCAAGGCATGGTTAGATAAATTATCCCTTTCCTGTCTATATGGTTATTTTTCTCCCACTCATATGGACTGACAGAACATAGGATAATGTACAACAATAAAAAGTACTAATTTATAAAAGTCAGCTGCAAATCCACATGATCCTAGAGTAGGTCATAAAGAGATCAGTCTGTAAGCACCTTGAAAATAATGTGGCAATTACCAGATGTCAGCAGGTATTTATCAAGAGTATGTTTTGCCAGAGCAACCTTATCTTATTATTTGATCATTATTTAATAAATTGTGGGGAAGCTGTAGATCTCAGCTTGACATTTGATAAAATACCAGCATTCTGAACAATAAGCTAATTAAGTTGGTGTGACAATTAAATGGATATCTAGCTGGCTGGGATATCAGAGTTAATAAGTATTTCCTCATCAGACAACTATGGTATTCAGCTGTATCTACAGGGTGGTTCAAAAAAGTCAAGATGGTGGGTACAACTGCACAATCCAAGCCCCACCTGTTTTTTACTGGCAGGTGACACAGGACTTTGAGCATGTGGTCATGCCTGCCATCTTGACTACTGTTACTCTCTAGCTCCCCTGGTGTCTGCAAGTGTGAGTTAAAGAAACATACAGACAACCACCTTCACAATGTTCTGTAAGGTTCAGCCTGTGATTTTTTTTTCTACAGAGGGAAACGTCTTTATGTCTGTTCTGCTCCAACTTTATCTGCATAATCCATAGAGGTGATTGCCTATAACTACAGGAAGATAATACAGATACAGATAGATATAGATGATATAGATATATTGTGACTTTGGGTCAGTTTTTGACTCCTAGAGACTGCCTGGACAAGTCCCTGAAGTTTTCTTGGCAAGGTTTTTTTTTTTTTTTGGAAGTGATTTGCCATTGCCTTTTTCCTAGGGCTGAGAGTGAGTGACTGGCCCAAGGTCACCAGGTTGACTTCATGTCTAGGGTGAGACTACAACTCACAGTCTCCTAGTTTCTAGTCTGCACCAAACTGGCTCTCTTAGAAAATAAATAGGAATTTACCCCTTTTATTGTGGATCCCTTGACTCTCTCATTAAACTTATGTTTTCTCACTTGGATACAAGGCCAGTCAAGAGTTTTGCACTACAGTATAAAATGGTGTTAACCTGGTGGGTTTCAGTAAACTCGAAACAAGCTAGCAAAATAATGCAAAATTCAGATCAGTTACAGAAGCAATTTGCTTCCTTGTTTATTCTTTCATCTTTCTGCAGGAAATATACGGAAACTGTATTATCCACACAGTACTTATCCAAACAATGCCAGAATTGTTTATAAACATTATGTTTAGTGTGTGCATGATTGGGGTGATATTAAAAGAGAAAATTCATTTTAATATAAGGAGAAAAATCTGAAGGTGTCCAATTAAGGAGAAAAATGTGAAGGTTCAGAAGATAATCCAAGTACCAACCCAAATCTCTCCCCTCAACCCCAACTAATGCAAAATCAATGTGTATGATTATTTTACACACTAGGGTCTAAAAAATCCTGAGAGATTTTCAAGCTAAAATTTGATGCAGCGAAAATCACAGAGAAAAAGTGCCTGTTTCAGCTGCGACTTACAGCACTTCAACTCAAGCAAATGACCATGGCAGTTCTGTCCTTCATTAATCCCAAAGTTGCATGATCCCAAGACATAATCAGCAATCTATGTTTAATTCATGATTAAAGCTTATTTATCACATCTTCCTGTACTTGGAAAAACAAAATCAGTTTTTTCTACAGCCAAGGCTAGAAGATTCAAACGGTGCTTCTTGCTCCATGCCTGTTGGTTCTATTGAGAACTCCCTAAATCAGGAACGTTCTCCACCTTTTTTCCTGTCCTTTTCTTTTGTGCTACTCAGAAGCCCAACATGATTAATCAGTATGTTAGCAATTCCTTACCCAGAGATACATCATGCTTCTGTGATGGCTGGGGCTGAGCCAGGGGTCTGGCCTTCCATAGTGTGCCAACACAGCCTTTTATCTCATCACCAGGTTCTCTCCAGAAAGTACTGGCCAGTACCATAATTGCCAATTCACTGACTCTGAATTGTAGGAACCTCTCAACAGCCTAAGGGCCCACTGCCACTCATCCAGAGACCTAGTTGGCTCAGGAGATAGAAGCCTACAGGGTCAGGTGTCCACCCCTCCCTCCCTCATTTACTGGGATAACAGTAGCCTCTGACTTCAGCTGGTTCTGCTAGGAAATTTCCCTCCAGCATCCCACTTCCTAGAAACCAGTAGGGAAGGTCCTGGGATTCCAAATAAAGCTGCAATCTGCCTAGATCCAGCCTCACAGAACTTGTATCCAACAAGAGGTTCCTAAAGTTCAGCTACCCCAGTGCTTGCTACCAATTCAAGACTCGTCCATTCAGCCCTTCATCAGGTCCCAGGGTATTCATGAATGTGTTAGTAGCACCTCAGCTCATGGGGTATACACATGTATTTCTACCTAGCTGACTTGCTGATTTAAACCCCATTGATTGATTAGTGGATGAAGGACATCCAGACCCTGAAGCAGACCCTTAAGGACCAGAGCTTCTGCTGAATGAGATCCTACATTCTTTAACCAGCACATTCTTTAACTAGCTCCTAGACACTGAAAGAGGCCTCTTCTCCATGCTGAAGGAAAAGAAGGAGATCATCCAGAAGTTAGTCATGTCAGTTCCTTAGATTAGATACCTAGATCACATGATTATTACCAGTCTCCAAGGCCAGATGATTATCCTCATAGTCTCAGTATCTAGGGCAAGATTCAGCTTCTGTCCTCTCCTATGGCTGTTCCTTTTCTTCTAGAAGCTACTAGCCCAA